GTCGTGTCCTTTAACACACCACTTTAATTAAATCTTAAACTTAATGATTTTAACATGGAACATGGTTTGCTTAATTAATCCGGAATCGAGCCGGGTAGGACCACAAGGGCGACAAAGCTCTCCCTCAAGAGTTTTAACACTGCTGCATTCCCAGGGCTCGAACACGAGATCACTGGTTAAGCTGGAAGAGACCCAAGCCATCTCATCCAAGCGCTCTTGAGTTGCTTAATTAAAGGTTAACTAATTAATTATAGATAATTATTGCAAAAAATATATACGTAACCATTAATTAATTTTGGACAAACGAGAAATTCACTCAACAATATTTTTATTTTTTTATGCTTGCTAAAAAAATGACCATTTTAATTAATCAAATCGTAAATATTTCTTACATTAATTTTTTTTAAAACATATTTTGTTTGATTTTTTTATTATTAATATGTATATTTTTAATTAGTCATTTTATGATTTTATTTGCCTTAATCATGCATACTCCAGGGCCTCCACTAACTCTATCACAAGTTGTGAGAAGACAATTGGTGTGATAATTATAAGTCTACTTTATCCCATGATCACGTGAAAATCTTGACTAATCTTCTTGTTCAATCATGTTGGTACCATGAAGTTTATTTGAAACTCTCTTAATTATTATTATTTATATTTCAACGAACATATCAACTAATTTTATCAAACACTTATTATATAAAAATTAATCTTTTTATTATGAGTGAAGCTCGAAATTAACTTATGAATTATCTGTGAACTTATCAGTTATCAGTTAGCTTTTTTTGTTAGCTTGATTTGCTAAAACACACCCAAAATTGTTCCTATATCCCCTTATATATTAATCCAGAACGCGCTGAGCCTACGTGGCTACTTTTGGTGCTTCAGAATCTTATGTGACAAAATTACATGCTTCGTTATTAGGCTTGAGTAAATTTTAATTTAATTCCAACAAAAAATAATTAGGTTCGGACTACCATAAATATGTTGATTATTTATGGCCAGGTTACATGTATTAATTGCATTTTAATATCATTCCTTATTATAACTATTGAATTGTATATATATTTTAAAAGTTAATAATTTTTGTATTTTTTATCAGTTTTACATATGTAATATATCAAATTAATCATCTTTTGATGAGCTTCGATTTAACATCCATATTGTATGTATAAAAAATAATAATTTATATTTATCTTTATAACGATAATAAATTATTTTTAATATTAATTAGAAAAATAAAATTATTTATCAACTAATATATTTATATTTCAAGTAGTTATATGATATAAGTTATAAAAAACTAATATTATATAACAAATGTAAGTCATAAGTAAGACATATCATTCTAAAATATATAGTAATATATATTTCTTTTTGTAAAAAAGTAAACTAAATTTAATATAGTTTTCTCATTAATTTTAAAATTTAAGAATATTTTTTTAACAAGCAACCGTGTAATACACGGGTGTTATACTAGTATAAATAATAATAATAAGCTATTTGATTGACTTAGGACTATGGTATTCAACCTAATAATCCTTATATTATGTGATTGTGTCTCCTCACTTGTCTCACTTTAGTCACTCACATCTGTTTTAAGATATCACACTAAAATCTGAAATGGACAAAATTTCAAAAGATTGTATATATACCCGTGATGAATAATGCAACATGTATTTTTTACCAAAAAAATAAAAATAAAATAATAAATAAATAAAACAATAAACATTTGTAATGAATGCACATGTAATGCTGTCTTCAAATAAAAACATATTACAAAGAATAAAAATCTTGAACTCGTATAACTAAGGGAAATGTTACGGTCTACCGTCTATGGAATCATTCTGTCGGATTTATAACCGTTATATCGTCATGTAACTGTCGGAGATAGTTGATCTAACTGCTATAAATTTTAACGAAATAGTTCCGTAACGGGATCCACCTCCCACTAACTAATTGGTTATGTGAAATAGGCCGTCATTATTAAAAAATACTAGCGGCCGGCCATAAATAGTGTGGTTAAATTATTCACGGTCAAATCGGCGTGTATAGTCATTGGCTGTTAAAATCAACGTGGTAAATTATTTGAAGTGGTAACTTCTTTTTGTTGGGCTATGAATTGCATTCAGAGTTCATCAGAAATGCAGAGGCACATTGTGACGGAACTAATTAGATTTACTATCCTCGTGTTTTGTTTTATAAGTGTAAACGAGTCTGAGCCAAAATTAAATATGTCTCGAGCCTAATTATTAAGCCGATCCGAGCCCAAATCGGTAACTAAACATGTTCGAGCTCGGTTTACTTGTCAATATTGACGAACCAATCCGAGGTAAAAAAATCAGAAAACTAAGTAAAAATCCCTATTATGGAGCCTTAACGAACAGAGTTGGGCTCAATAACTAAACGAGCTCGATCCATAATGAGCCCAGCTGAACTCACGAGCGGCTAATTTCATTTAACATCTCTAGAGTTTACCACAAACTTGCACCATACATGACATATACACATCACATGAGTGTG